GGAATGATCAGGCCATTTAGGTTCCTATCCTGTTTCGGTGTTACCTTCTGATGTTGCTCTTTCCTCGCAGATCACATACTGAAGCAGATTCTGCCAGATGGAGTGGATATACCTTCCTCTTTTGAAACAATAGTTAAGTATTAAGTTTCTGTTTGCTTCCTCAACTTAACAACCAAGCTTACAAGAACTCTGTTTGCATGAGCTAGTTTTTGTTTGTGTGCATTTGTTATGGGTACATGTTCTTGCTAAGTTTTCAAGCATCACCAAGATTACCTCTCTCATGAGAACCAACATCTCTTTCCTTATTATGTACAGGTCATATTGCCCACTTAAATCTACATGACGAGCTCCTTCCATTCAAAGATGTCATAGCAAAAGTTATCTACGATGTAAGTTTTTGATGTAAAGCAGTCTTTTGATATCTCCGTATCGTGACAGCAAAGAGATCTGATATTCTAATTGATCTTTTATATTCGTAGAAAAATTATCCAAGGATCAAGACAATTGTTAATAAAGTCGGGACTATCTCTAATGAGTTTCGAGTACCAAAGTTTGAAGTGTTAGCTGGAGAAGATGGGATGGAAACAGAAGTAAAGCAATATGGGGCAAGATTTAAGCTGGACTATAGCCTGGTTTATTGGAATTCAAGATTGGAGCATGAGCACATGCGCCTTTCATCTCTGTTTAAACCTGGAGAAACTGTGTGTGATATGTTTGCTGGTATTGGACCGTTTGCTATTCCAGCTGCACAAAAAGGATGCTTCGTTTATGCAAATGATTTAAATCCAGACAGTGTTCGGTACTTGAAGATCAATGCAAAGTTCAATAAGGTTGATGAGTTGATTAGTGTGCACAATATGGATGCTCGAAAATTTATTTCTCACTTGATGACGGTCTCGACTTGTGAGGGTAATTTGCAGTCAGTTGCTAATGACAAAACAAAGGAAGCAGTCGTGAGTAAAGGAGGTAATTCTTTTGATTTGAACTCAGTTTTCTGCATTATAATTGGCACATTTGGTTTTAGCTGGAGAAAAGAATAGTTTTGACGGTTGGTTTCTCTATAATCTCTGATTGACCACAGCTGAAACTAAAGCAGAAGATAAGAATTCTGGAATTAGCGGAGAGGAAATAAAAGAATCCAATGCAAGCATAAATGAGCCTCTTGGTTCTAATAAGAAGCCATCTGGTATTTCAGAAACAGGTAAGAAATGTCTCAGAGCGTTTCTCCAACACATTCTAACAGTTAATATTGCCTTGGGGATCATCACTAAGCTGTTAATTAAATGCAGAAAATGGGGTAGTGAAAGACTGCAAGAGTATAGAAGGAAACGCAAATAAGAGGTTGAGACAAACGTTGCTTCCAATCGCAAAGCCGTGGGAACATATCGACCATGTTATTATGAACCTTCCAGCTTCTGCCTTGCAGTTTCTCGGTATGCTACCAACGATTCTAGATTTTTGTTCAAAATTTTGGACTATAATCTTGTGTATACTTACAAGGCAACTACATAAAAACTGCAGCTCATAAAATAGCTATCTTGATTAAATACACTGGTTGATTGTTATATTATGATATTGGTTTAGTTATGTGATAAGAAAGTACATCTGTTACAGTCCGCATCAGCAAGTTTTATAGGACTAAGGTCATTATAGAAGGAGATGCATCGTATTGGTTTAGTTATGTATTAAGGCATGTTTTTTTGTTTTAGGTTATGTTATCGTATTGCTAATGCAAATTGGCTTTGTAATTGTTTTTCTTTTTCTTTGCAGATGCTTTCAGTAATGTAATTCAAAGGAAGTATTGGAAGGGACCTCTTCCTTTGATTCATTGCTATTGTTTTATCCGTGCAAGCGAAACCACAGAGACTATAATTGCGGTAAGAATCAACCATCCACTCTCCCCTTGCAATTGTGGTTCTTCATTATTGCTTCTTTGTACCAAATATCTGGTGCCATTGCCTCAGAAAATCTAAACTACAGCTTTTGTGATATTATTAAGGAAGCTGAAACTGCTTTGAAGTTCCATATAGAAGATCCAGTCTTCCACAAGGTTAGAGATGTTGCTCCAAACAAGGTATGATGATCCCATTATTTGGTTTTCATTTTTATGAATGAATTGTGATGAAACTATATTCTGTAGCTCCTGACCTGGAATTTGTTTCGTACGCGTTGCAGGCGATGTATTGCTTAAGCTTTAGACTAACTGAAGCGTGCTTGATTCAAGAAGACTAAAAAAGACATTTTAGAGAAGCGAGAAGAATCAAAAACATCGGTTGAAATTTTGTTTACTTTGGTGTTTGGTATCATAAAATGTCATGAATCAGTAGTGGATTAGATGAGTCTTGATGTCAAAGAGTCTTATATACAGAGATCTTAACAGTTTCAATCCTTTTTTTATATATACCTTACACTAATCATTTTGTTTGTTGGTTCGATGGCACATGAGTCACTTAACCACAGCGAAAGACTTAAGTTATT